AGAAAGCTCTCTGATTTTAAAGATGCTATAACCAATCATTCTCTTTTGTTTTTTTGTCTTGAACTCTATACGGATACTTCTTGCACAAATGGGTGAGATGATTCCACAATATACTAATTCCGCAGTTTTTTGCATGATGCTTATTTGTTTGTCCACAATAATTACATTCTGCCTTTTCATTTCCCTGCATTTTAAAATGATCCCACACCTCAAGCTGTTTGTTTCATTTTTTGCTTTTTCCATCCATTGTCATATCTTCAGAGTCATCGTCTAATGGAATCGTATCATCGGCTTCTTTTGAAATTGGATCCATATCTGAAAAAAATTGGTAATATTAGTTAATAACAAGTAGTATAAATACATGTACTTCTAGAAGTTTTTGCTTCAAACTGGTTCTTCCGAAATTTTCATAACAAGTAGTATAAATGCTTTTAGACAAGTCAATTACAGTTGAACTCGCACATATTTTGCATTCAAAGACTAGTTTATAATGTCTACATTTCAAGCTTCATGCAACTTATATCATTTCTTTCTAGCTAATGATCCTCAAGAACGAACTCATAAACAAAATATACAAGTCATCAACCATCTGGTGGATTGTCATTGTGGGAGGGAATATAATAAGCTCACTGCAAAATCAACACGGTAGAAGTCTAGCATCCCCAAATAAATAAATAAAAAATGACATCAAGAAAATTGGATGCTACCTTTGTAGTAAATGCCATATTTCGAAAATTAAATGCTTCCAGACAAGTAAATTAGGAACAATAAAAAAAGATATGAAGCCAAAAAAAAATTCAAAATAACCAAGAAAAGAAAACAAGTCCTTACAGAAATGAGAGCTAAAGAGTCGGTGGAGTCGCATTGTGGCCTTTCGCACTTCGCAAAGAGGCTGAGGGTTGAGAGAGCTGCTGTGAATGTGGTTTGGAATTTGGACGGATGGGGTGAATTCAAAATTCCAATAATTGAAAAAGAAAAAAAAATTAAAATGATTTGGGTTGAGAAATTTGGTTTGAGAAGTTTCATATTACTAAAAAAAAAAAATCTGGTTTGAGAGTTTATAATTTAATAAAAAAAAATTTTTAATTAAAAAAAGTGCGGTTCGATTTGGTTTTTGCCGGTTTTTAAAATTTGAAACCTAAACCAAA